CCCTGCCTCAGCTCCATCTCGACTGGCTGCTGGAGATCCAGGCCGGGAACCGGGAGATGAGCTGGGGGAGCAGCAGTGACTACTTCAGGGACCTGGAGACAGTCACCCAAGGGCTGAGCCAGGTGTTCGGCGCTGGACTCTCTCTGGAGACCTGCATCACCTCCTTAGCTCAGCACTACCAGAAGTGTGTTTCTAAGGGCCCTTCTGATGCTGCTGTATTCTCCACTCCCCATCCTTATTGCCCTGCTGCTCCCCAAAGCCTGCCTGCCTTGGGTCTGCACTGCCAGGGTAAGCCCTCTCAGGGACCCATTCAGGCCTCCCTCAGCGTGGCAGCTGCCCAGCAGCAGTGGCGGGCAGCAGCAGCCTCCCTCACAGCTGTCAAGAGTCCTGTGGTTGTTCTCCAGAGTCCATCAGCAGCTCCTCACCTTTCCCCGTCTCTTCAACCTGACACCCCTCAGACTCCTCCCCTCCGGAGCAAGCCTGTGAGCCCTCAGTCCTTGTTAGATCCTTTGTCTCCCGCGGCTAACCTGGAAGCCACAGAAAACCCAGAGAGTGCCAGCGAGGAGGAGATTAAACAAAAGACTGAAGAACGCATCAGGCAGTCTTTGATTGATGTGTGCTCGGAGCCAGCGGCCAGGCTGTGCCCGAGCGAGTTCGCTGTGGTGCAGCAGTCGGTGCAGCTGATCGGCAGTGGGGAGGACGCTCTCAGCGTGCAGGTCCTGGAGGATGCCCACAAGGTGGACCCAAAAGGCCTGAGCAGCTGCACTTGCCACTTCAATCAGGCCTTCCAGCTGCCCTGCCGGCACATCCTGGCTGTGCTGAACTCAGAGAGGGAGACGCTGCAGCCAGAGGTGCAGCAGGCAGTGGTGCTCAGCAGGCAGTGGTGCTCAGCAGGCAGTGGCAGAAGGGAGGCCATGCCCGTCAGGCTGGGCAAGACAGTGCTGATGGCCTCATGGAGGTCCTGACAAGTTCCTGGAATGAGTCCTTGGATAAATCCCTGGTGGTGTCCTTCCTCACGGCAGAGATCAGCCAGCTCCTCACTCACTGCAGCAAGGAGGAGTTTGCATGCAGGTACAGGACCCTGCGGGCACTGGCTGACAGCTGGATCAGGCCCTACGTGGAGGTGAAGCTCTAGCAGCGAGCGGGGCCACGCTGGCCCTTGGGACGTGCGGGAGGGCTGTTCCTCACCTCACCAGTGCCTGCTGTCCCCTTTGGTTCACCTCAGCCTGCCCCTCCCTCAGGGCTTGGCACAAACAGGGTGGTTTGGACTCAGTGCTGAGTGTGTGTTGCCTCTTGCCTGGGGCAGCCAAGGAGCCAGATTGGGAACTGTAGATTGCTCTGGAATGGGTAACCGGCCGCTGACCTGGCTCACAGGAGAGGGGGCTGGCAGCCAGCCCTGGGGGGTGTGGAGTGGTTGGGGATGGTATAATGACATGTGACACTATTGTTTGATCTGCATCCAGCGGCCACAGGTCCTCCCAGCATCCAGCTGCGGTGTGTTGTGCAACAGAGCAATAAATCGGTCTGGCCTTGCTCAGGAGCTGCCTCTGTCTCTGCGCCAGCTGTGGCCAAATGGGATGTG